GTTTATTCTGACTTGGATGTTACACAAAGAATAATCTGACAGTTGCAATCTTTAGATGTACATTATTGATAGAGACCTGAAATATTTGAGGCTGTAATAACAACAGTTTGTTCTAAAATTAAAATTAGCAATAATTTGTATATTTTTATAATTCAGTAATGTAACATCAGCCTATAGATTTTTTTTAATAATCTGAAAAAGGGAAAGGTACGTGTGGTTTATTTACTTTTGAAGATTTGCCTATAAAGAATCCACCTGAAGCAGTCATAGTCAGCAGAATCTGATTCCACCGCTCTTCTAGTAATGTGAAGTACTTGTCCCTCACAGATTTTCTGCTTTTGTTTTTTTTTTGGCAACATATTTATATATTTAACTCTGTTAAAATATGATTTTTATTTATCTTTTGATTCTGTTTTATGTTGATTCTGTTTTTAAAATGTAATATTAACTTATTTTAAAAACTTCCTTTTTTTCTACCTTTATTATAAATTAAAGACTTAACTCCAGGTAGTCATAGATATAAGTGAATTGACTGTTGAAAATAGTATGTGTGTTCACTATTTATAGAAAAGAATCTTCTATTTTAAGACGATTCACGAATAAATCTCAGATTTCTTTTTTTCAGCTAAAACTTTGAAACTTCATGTCAAGAAGAAAAAGGAAAATATCCTGTTTCTAATTTCTCCATCTGCCTCAGTCATTGTCCTTCCCACCACAAATTTGAGTTGTGCAAACTGAAGGGAATTGGCTCTTATAAACTTCAGCTGTATATTCTTTCTGACAGATGAGCAAAAATATGCTTTGCTACATATTGAATTAATTTGACATGAAATGCGGGCTAATTGTGGCACACACCTTGAATAAGTAAGAAGGACCATGTGATATATTGCTTAAGGTAAGGTATGGTAGGATTATTAATGGAGACAAAATATTGTTTTCCATTACCAAAGAATATTTAATTAGCTGTTTTTGTGCCAACTATAAGGATCAAAGACCAATCAAAACTCCCAAGATAGTCAAGCTAAAAATCAAAGATAAAGTCCTTAAGGCAGTACATTACCTGTGAAGAATGATGAATTTCTTGCCCTGACTTCTACTTCTTGATGACATTTGAATAATCAAATTGTTTTTATATGTATCTGCAAACCAAAGAAATTCACGTCTGTAGGAGTTGGTGCACAAATCTTATGTTTTGCATTTTATTGCAAAAGAGCGACTAAGAAGCATTCTAATCTTCTGCTGAGAAACAAACAGGATCGGATTAAAACTATATATGGTTTAACATCTTGATTACATTGAAATTGAACTTTTTTTAAGGCTGTTGTTAGACTCAAACTTCTTTTAGACTGTTTCATGACATTATAACCATAACAAAAAAAAATCACAGTTTGACAATATGAAAGTTTTTATACAAAAATGAATTTAATTGCTTTGATTTAAAATAGAAAAAAAACAAAACACCTAGTACTATTCTGGGTGAAATAATGGGTATATTGAATAATTAAATTTAATTAAGGTTCTGTACAATATATTTGTATTGTTTAGATTTGAATATCAAGAGTTTCTTTAAAAGCATGGCATTAAAAGCTGCTAATATGAGTATTCCAGCTATTTTCAAGTTTTAATGTCCATGAAGTCTGGTGCCCATTAGGTACTAGTACCATTTTCAAATTAGAACTTATTTTATTTTTAGTTCTATCTATTAACTGTCTTGATTTTACATTTTCTAGATAATATTTTTTAGACATTTTGATTACTAAACGGAACAAGAAGCAAGCCCACCAAACAAATATACAGCACACATATACATTTTATAAACTTTGGTGTATCCTGTACCTGAATACTGGTAACTAGTAAGCTGTTGTTCTGTTGGGTAAGTATAGTCTTCAGACTTGTACATAATTCAAACTTTAAATAACGCTCTTATTGGTTCCTGACATAACCCAAAATATTTACACAGAATATAGCAAAAATTAAAGCAAACTGTCCATGGTCCATTGCTCACTGCCAAATAACAGTACTGTTACCATTTTGAATTTCAAATGTATTTTCTTGATGCTTTTGAATCAAATGCAACATTTCTGTCAGTATGGTCTGTAACGCTGACTCTAAATTCTAATAAGGTTGGTCTGATGTTTATTTTGTTTTCCAGATGCAGACAGTTCCACAGTGTGAACCAATTGGAAGTCCACCTTCTTTTCCTGCTCCTAACATGCTTTCACCGACATCTTTACCCCTGGGAGGAGCTCCTTTCTTACCCTCAGAGTTTGATCCTGCACATCTAGTAGGAGGTAAACTTTAAAGACTGTAATATGCTGCAAATTTCTAATATTTTTTAGCATTATTTTAAATGTGGTACCTACTACTTTACTACTTTTTGTCATTATTTGCTTTTTCTTCTGCTTCTGTGGTTACTTCTTACAGTATGTGGAGTCGATGAAACTTCATGGTTTTCTTTTTACAACAGGAAATAATAAAGGTTTAGTGGAGTCTGCAGAAGATTCCCCTGTTGAGCAAGATCCGTCGTCAACTATTGGTGCTTGCGATCACCTAGGGACTCCAGCAACACCTGTTATGATGATGCCTAACCCTACAGCCATGCAGGGTCCCCCCAGACATGGAATGCCACCTCTGCAGCCTCCCCTTGGCATGCAAAATCCTAACATGCGGCCCTTCCCAGGTCCTCCAAACATGCAACGCATGCCCTCGCAAATAACGCAAGGAGAGCCCATGTTTCCGTCCAATAGATTCAGAATGCCTCTACCTTTTCCCCCTCGCGGTCCTCCTTTCCAACGGAATCCATCCATGGGACCAGGGATGATGAATGATGGGCCGAGGGGGCATTTTCGGGTGATCAGACCAGGATTTGGGCGCCCACCATTTCAAAGAGGGAGATGGTAGAAAATGTTTTATAAATGAGCCTAAAAGGGGAGTGTGAAAAACATCTGTGACAGGTTTTTACTAATCTGTTTTAGCAAGGAGTTCTGTGAGCACCAGGTGCCGCTAAATCTTCTGTTCAGACCTGCTCCTTTTTTCCATCACTAAGTTACTCAGCCTGATTTTAAGTTCACCAGAGATACTTTTTTTTCTGTATATACTACACATGCCTGTATATATTTATCTTTTTGTATAATTAGATTTGGGTATGCTCAATTGTTAGCAGAAGTAGACACTATTTGTTTTAAGCAGTTATTGCTCCTCTAAGAAAACAGATAAAAGAAAATCTTTCCTTTTTTTTTTAGCTGCTGATGTATTTCACTGCCAAAAATCTCTTCTGAAGATTTTATTTCCAACCAGTAGAGGGTGGAAAAATCTTGTTTAAAACCTCCCTGATACATTGAGGTCACACGTTGTTCAACTGTGTGCACTGAATAAAGAATGTCCACCATTTTCTGGTGTGTCTTTTTTTTTTTTTTTAGCTAAGCTATTCCTGTGAAATTGATCACTCTTAAAAAAAGAGTAAAGTTTTCTGTTTTACCTAAATATGCATCTTATAAAGTTGTTATAAAGTTATGCTATAAAAAGTAAAATTATTGCACCAATAAATTTAAATCTAAAATGTTATCTATCGATTTATGAACAGAGGCAAACATGTGAATCTTTTATGGTTAGTTTAATGAGAGAAGATTTTAATATATATCAATCAACCTTTGGGAGAAACAGTGACTTAGCAGTTTTCAAGAAAACTAACAATGGAAAAGTTTACAATTTAAATATAAATGGAAAGAAAAAGAAAATTAGAAAAAAGTTGTCCAGAGAATTTTGATGTTGTTGACCCTTTTATCAATTAAATGCATTCTGCTTCTTTTATACTTCACTTTACATTTTATAATTAATCCACTAAGTGACTTTTAATATAAACCATAAGGAGACTGTCAGAACAAGGAAAATTTATACAGCGTAATTCAGTACAAAGACAATGCAAAATGCTTTAAATGTATTAAACAAGATTAAAGGAAAATAAAAGGACAACAAAAACAAGTAAAGTTAACATGATAAAAGTAGTTGGAGGCACAATCTTAAACTAACAACACTTCAGTAACAGTTTAACTTCAACAGGCAGATATTTCTGAATGTACAAGTGTTATCTAGTTAAGCTTCTTTCCAATTTTATTGTTAAAACTCCCTTGAAAATATTGTAAAATAAAGCCTTTTAAAAGCTTTAGGAGGCATGCACAAAGTGTATACTGCAGCTAAATGTGGTGCCTTAGGAGTCCCAACACAGATGTGTTCAGGACATAAAGTTCAGCTGCTGCATTCCTTCATCATTATCCTCTAAAGATTGCTCTGTTCCTTGTATACCATCTCTTTATTACCATGTTCTCTTCTGACATTTAACAACTAGCCGTAAACTAGGCCTACTAATATTACAAATTAGATTAACATCAACTATAGATATGCTGTAGAATATAATTAAAGCAGATCAGCTTTTTTTATTTGAAGAAACCTGAATAGAATAGACTAGAATATACTTTATTGTCCCCTAGAGGAAATTTGTCATGGACCCAGGTGTGCAGTTCATAGTAGTAGCTGCCATTAGAAACAATAAATACACATAAAAACAAATACCAGCTAAAAACGCACACATAGACTACATACAGACTCATAAGAATTAAAAATAAAAAGATTAAAATAAAATACTAAAACAACAAGCAGAACACCAATTTATTGCACACTTCCCATTTCTTTCCATTAAGATTTTGATTTAAAATTTTGATAGAGGTGAGTATAAAGGAGAATTTAAAGTAAGCATTGAAGAGCATGAAATGTGAGTAGTAACATTTTGCATTGCCAAATATAAAATAAAATAAATTAAAATCAATACCTCGTACAGACCTATTTAAAGGCAGAATTTGCCTATTTGAAAAATATTTACATTTTGCAGTTTTAGACTGACAGTCTGCCGGGATGCAAGGGCTTTGCATGGACCGACACCTGATTGGCTCGAAGAGTAAATAAGTGGCATTGTCATGATCCAGTTGCATGCCGTCTCCAAGGGTCGTGGACTCCGCCCCCCTCTCAATGATGTGGAAACAACACGCATGGTTCGTGGACGCACACAGACCTCGGAGGAGCGGCCGCGCTCAGATGAGTGAGGAAAAATGGATACTTCTGAAAAAAGGCTGCCACATCCCAGAGGAAGTGAAGGCAGGTATGTAAATACGCCAGGGAACCGGGAAGTATGTCGGGAGAGGAAGAAATATCCGCTCGATCATGAGTCTGCGTGGTCCCCAAACGCCGCGTGCGCGCATGAGCGCGTCACTGTCTCATCCAAGTTTACCTGGAGGCGAGACGCGCTGCGGTGCGGTCCATTGGGCAACCCGACAGGATGTCTTCTCACCCGCAGGGTGCGCAGTATTCTGCGTCCATCCTGTTACTATCGCTTTATTTATTTTTTTCAGGGAGGGGGGGCATCAGCGTGCATGTGCTTGAATGACCAGACACGTCAGGTTTAACGCATCCATGTCCAGACATATGAATTTCAACTTCACTGCATGACTACACCATCACTGAGAGATCTGGTTAGGTATGCAGAGCAGGCAGCTTTCCCTGCAACCCCTAAACATCTATCCTTCATGATCTAGTGGGGGGAATCTCTCTTGATCTTTATTATTTAGGTTTGTAGCCAGTGAGAACCTGGTGCTGTCGCTACTAAATAAAAAAATAAAATACAGATGACTCATTTGGAAGGTGATTCTCATTGGTGCTGTTGCTTTACTCCAGTGACCTTACATCCTGTCATGTTTATTGCAGCGTCACAGCTCCAATCTGCAGCTGACAGTATCTTCTTCATGTTTCCCCCCCTCTATGATGTTATATGCATTGTTTTCAGAGCTATTTGTAGTCTAATACTCATTTATTTCTATTTCCTTTGCACATTCACTTTTAGATTGCTTTTATTTCAGCAGCATGAACGATAAGCGAGTTGAGTTTCTATCTTTTGCTCTTTTTTGGGGCACTAACAGTACATGATGGAGTTGTTTGATATGCATTTCACGTTAAACGGCTGCTATGAGGCTCTGCCTGCCAGAGGTGTAGCCAGAAAATTTTAATAGGGGTGGCCAATGAAAAACCAATGTAAACTGAGGGGTGGCCGAAAGCGGATGGGCGCCAGAACCTGCATCTATTTGATTACAAATAGATGCAGATAAACATCCATACTGTCTAAATAAAAGGTATAATGGACAAAATGTTTGGAGCAAACATTCCATTGTCATTACTTTCCTACTTTATCAAAAATTGTTCTGCATAACATACATGTATTAATATCTACATTAAATGGATTTTAAAGTTATTATTAAAGTAGTTATTTATCTATGATTTCACTGAAAACTCCTTGATGATTTGCAGAGACACATTATTTTTTCTTTACCCCATATAACACAAAATTAGGGTCTTAAAAGAGCATGAATTCTGTATATATCAACTTTAATGTTAGTATTTTGATGTGCATAATTAACCACTGCGTTTTAGTTGTCAAGTAACTATTAATATATGAAAAATTGTAATGTTTAATAAGTTTAAACATTCCTCTTGATAGTATTACTGCTGCCGCTGACTTTATTAGAGGGAGAAAATGGTAGGGGTGGCTGCAGGGGTGGCCAATGATTGTCTAAGAGTGGCCATGGCCACCTCTTGCCCACCATTTGGCTCTGCCCCGTCTGCCTGCTAAAAGAAATAAAGTTTTTGCTCAGATCAAGACAATATCAGTCTTTGCTGGGAGGCAGTTCCCTCTCAACAGCTTGTATTGATGATGAGCCATTACAACTGAAATGTAAATTAAACTGGTTTGACAACAGTGCCTCTTCTGTCAATAGCCTGGAGATTTGGAGGTTATGTAAATATAACAGCTTATGTAAATATAACAGCTTATGTAAATATAACAAGAGAAGGATCTAATTTGAAAGAGAGGCAATGCATTAAAGCTTTCTTTGTTACAGTCTGTTTGAGAAATAACATCACAGGTTTTATGCTTATGTCATGTGCAGTATATGTAATGCCTTGTTAGGTGGGCTCCCCCAAATCCTACTAATATAACCTTATATCTAAACGTGCTACTGCTATTTAGGGCTGAAACAATTAATCGGATTAATCGTGATTAACTGATTATTGATATAATCGTCATCTAATTTAGTAATCGCTTAATCGTTAATTGGAGTTAGAGACTCTAAAACATGCTTTTAGCTGACAGAGCAACCCACTTATGTAAAATATGTAAACATTTTGCATTTAAGATGAAAATCTTTTTCATCTGTCAATGTGCTCTATCCAGAACTCCTCGGGTGTAAAATTTTTAGTTTTACCTGGTTTCGTTTGGCAAAAAGTCTTCCTTAAAGAACCTTTTGCTATCGAATAATCGAAAAATTATTTGACAGATGAATCAATTTGCAAAAATAATCGTAAGTTGCAGCCCGACTACAGTTAGATTTCTTGAATTTCATATAAACATTAAACTAATACTGGATTCATAAGTCTGACTTTTGGTTTTTGTCATACTATTCTTTCAGACACTGGTGATAAATGTATATTTTCACTGGTGATGGTACTTGTACTATGAGGGTACAAGCCTCAATGTTCAGCCCAATTTTCTTTCTTTTTTTTTTTTTTGCTAATAAGATATTCCCGGGAATAATATTTATGCATTAAAGTTCCTGTTTTTATAGAGGACGCTTTTTACTCATCTTGTAACCTTCTTAAATGTTAACAAATTTTAAACTGTATTTCAGCTGTTAAAAATATTAAGTTACCCAAACCCTGGATCTTTATGTGAATAGAGTTAAATCAATATCAGTTTCCACGAATGTGTCCAATGTCTCAGATAACTTTGCATTTCCTACAACTATTGAGATCTTTTGTAGAATAAGAACCTTTTTTGTGTAAGTTGAGCATTTGATCAAAAAGCTGAAGCTTAGACTAGGTTTATATGGAAGTCATTAGGCCTTTCTTTATTAGAGGTATACATAAATAGGTTCAATTTTTTTATGTTCTTTACCTTTATGGCATAATTTAGATGCATGCTGCCTTCTCTGCGCTTCATTTTATTTATTTTTTCTTATTTCGAACCCAATGTAATGTGTGCTTCATAATCCTAAATCCTAAAGACACACTCAGACCAGACATTTCTAGATGTGCAAATAGACACTGAGTGAACAGCTTTCTTATTTGAGTACCTTCTTAATACTTTTAAAATCTTGCTCTGATTTGTAAAACTTAATTCTATAGAGAACCCTGATTAATTTCTGAACTTTTTATTCTATTCTGTTGTTTTAGGCCTTTGTCACTGGATGATAATAATATTTAAACAAGAAAGATTAATGGCTTTGTCTGGGAGAGTTTAAAGATCTTTTAGAGACTGCTGTAAATAAAAACAGTAATGCTGCTTTCCTTAAAATTGATCTTATTGCTGTATTAGCCTGTCTCTAATTTGTTTTATTTGTTTATATTGATGTCAAATAGAAAAAAAATGGTTATAACTTTTGCTTGTCTGCCCCCTTGGTCAAGTCTCCCCCATAGAAGAGATGTTAATCTCAAAGACCTTCCTGGTTAAATAAAATAAACCAGATAAAAAATGAGTGATTCCAGAATTTATGCATGGTTGAACAAAAGCAATCTGAATTTGGCTGCTGAAGTGGAAAAGTGAGATAGACCCCCCAGGGAGAATGACCTCAGTGTTCAGAGATGTGTCCTAAAGGTGGTAACATGAACCCATCTGTGTGACATGCCTGTTCACAGAGCTGACCTACTGTTTGTTCCTTTGGTTGAGCTTCAGCCACTTTTCTTCTTCTCTGGCTCGTGTTCATGTTGTGTATTTCTGAAAGATCTCCAATGTTAATCCAACTGTCTGCTCACGAAAGAATGTCTCCACATTCATATGCTAATTTGCCAGCTTTTCAGACAATCCATGACTTGTTTCTTCATGTATGTGATACCACAAACACAGTGGTTTCTTGATATGTGCATGCATGACTCTCATAAGTGCTGTTTTTGAATTATTCATTTCCATCCCACTGGCGCATAACTCTGCTTTCATTTGCAAAGTCCACATTTACATTCAGATGCTATGTTTTGTGTAGAGTTAACTTTAAATAAAGCATGTAGGGTTAACATCAAGATAAACCATGCATTACAATGTAACTTGTGACTACACAATGTACCATGTATGTTAAATTAATATGTCTGGTCTCACTGTGAAAACATAAAACAAAAACAGCAGAAAGGGTAGAGATCTGGAAAAGCCTAAATGTAAACAACAAAGTAGAAAACCTTTCAATATAAATAGTTATTGGTCCCAAAAGGATATACTTGGAACAATAAATCAAGTTAAGCTTCAGTGCTTTACCTTTATTTATGCATTAGTACCTTATTATAGAGTTCACTTATACTGTAAAGAAGCGTTAAAAGCATATCACTATTAATATACATTGTACACATCCTAGGTAGTCAGCTACTTTGTTGTGAAACAATTTAAGCCTGTTTGCACTACCACAACCTTCCTATTCTTTATTGCTTTTCATTTTATAACATAATTGTGTCTCTATATCCAAATACTTAACCTTTTATCCTTCATTTTATTTATTCCATTAGGGCTGCAACTAAAGATTAATTTGGAAAATCAATCAATCTGCCAATAATTTTTTGATCAGTTGATTATTAATAAGGTTCCTTAAAGAAGATTTTCTATTAAATTAAACCAGGTGACACTAAAACGTTTCCGCTTATAGAGTTCTGGAAAGAGCATATTGACAGATGAAAAAAGGGATTTTAAAATTTTAGTAGAATTGCTGCTCTAAGTGGGTCGCTTAGGCAATCGATTACTAAATTATTTGACGGTTATTTCAATAATCATTGTTTCAGCCCTTAATTCCATACATTTATAGTTGATGTCTGTGTGCTGTGAGGTCTTTAATTAAGCCAAAGTCAATATCCTTGTTTGTTAACAAAATCTTGATTAGTAAAGCTGAATATGGTTTTGACTGTTATGGATATAAAATCACTAATATTGATTTTATACAATTTCTTTTGAAAGTCTTTTAAAGTGATGTAAATGGAAGTCATTCTCAGGCTACATATATCAAATGTAGAGTAATATAGCCCAACCCCTCTCGGCTCCCACGCTGTTTTCATCCATTAACAAAAAGACAGATTTGGCAA